ATAAATACTTCAGTAGCTTTCTACAAACAATAAGTCCTCCATGCTATAGAAATAGGCTTATTCTGAAGCTCAGTATCTCCTTGGAAAATAATTGGGAAGCAGGTTAGTATTCATAGTTACTGGAGCTGGATTGGCACTTTTTTCACTTCTGATATGTACTGTGATGATGGAAATAAGGATTTTCTCTGGGCCTGCTGTCTTTATTTCCTTTCTTTCAGTTACAATGTTTTCTGCCCAAGTGATATTAAATGCCACGGTGACTGTTGCATTCTCTTTCAATACTGGGAGCGGTTAACTCTGCAGCAGTGGAAAATTTCATTGTGTTTGTACCTTTCTGAGACAGTGAAGTGTTTATATCTGGTATTAAGGTGAGGAAAGCCACAACTAGGACAAAAAGAGTGGAAAATCAAGACCATTCTGCTATAAAGCAAGAGTGTCAGTGGAGAATCAGAGATGTGGGGAGTTGCTTGCAGTATGGCTCCTAAATGACATCTCAGTTTCTTAGATTTCTGCTAATGTTACCTTAAAAGCCTTCCTCCAGGTTCATGGCTTCAATCTTATTCTGCTAGTCTGTCTTTACCATAATAAATTAGAAGTTATGACATCTTTCATTTACTTCATGTTTTCAATTCATGGTACTTTCACATCAGACACCTCTATTGTAGGTTATCTCTTGATAATGTACACTATTAAAGGGAGGACTTACATATTATCAAACAGATATTTGAATAATCAATGTTCTTTGACTATTTGAATGAAATTTCAGATCACAGTTTCTGGTTAGAGCCAGATCTAGTGAACTTGAGCCTCAAACAACTGAGATTTTTAGAATTTCAAAACAATCACGACAGGAAGGATACTTTTTATTGCATCTTTTTAATATAAAGATGTCACTGAAGGCCAATCTAAATAGCAGATACGAGGTTGCAGGGGGCAGAATTTGAGATACCCAGTCAGGGAAAACAGAAAGATGTACTAAACTTGTTTTTGCTTTTCCTCTCGGAAATTAGATTGGAGAGGGGTTGTTGAGTGGGGCTTAGGTACTTCATCCAAGAAGGCTTACCTTTCTGAACTTGAAGGTATAGACAGGCAAGATAGAGCAAAAGGCATAAACAGGTGTCTGATAGTTTTACATGGGTAATTTACGTCTCAAGTGTTGAGCAATTAAGCACCTCTTAATACAGAAGTGTGTAAATCATAAATCTAGAGCTTAATAAGTATCACAAAGAGAACAAACTATGTAACTACTAATTTATTTCTTTCTAATATTAACATACTGGCTTTCTTTTTATTTATTTACTGCTAATATGGCATATCTTTTTCCATTCTTTTGCTTTCAACTTTCTAAATATGTTTTATGTGTGTCTTGTAAGCAGCATGTAGTTGGGTTTACTTTTTCTCTAGTCTGACTGGCAATCTTTAAATTTTAATTGGAGTTTTTAGTCCATTTACATTTAATGTAATTGTTGATATGTTGGGTTTAAATTAACCACCTTACTACTATTGGGTTCCCCCCCTCTGTCACCTATTCTATATTCCCTTCTCTATTTTTAACCTTGCCTTGTTTTTGGTTAAGTATTTTATCATTTCACTTTTTCCTATTAGAGTTTTAATTATACATTCTTTCACTATTTTGTTTTGTTTTAATGATTAAACTAGAGATTACATTATATATCCTTGGTCTTGTAAAGTCTAAAGTTAATTAGTATTTTTACCACTTCTGGACAATGAAATGATTTTAGAACACTCAAACTCCATGTACCCCCTACGCTTTTTGTGTTAGTAACTAGTTATTTGTTTTAATGATAATAGTAATACTAATATCTTGTGAGACTTTTTTAAAAAGTCTTTTATAGGGCTAGTATTTGGTTTATTTGCATACAAACCCTTTTTATGACTTTCTCTTCCTTTCTGTATTTCAGTCTGCCCAAAGAACTCTTCTTAGTATTTCTTTCACAGTAGGCCTGCCAGTGATCAGTTCACTTAGGTTTTGTTTTCCTGAAAGTATTTTTCAGATTCATTTTTGAAGGATATTCTTACTGAGTATAGAATGCTAGGTTGGTAGTTGTTTTCTTCCAGCATTTAAAAAATACTATTCCACTGCAGTCTTGATTCTGTTGTTTCCAGTGAGAAGTCAGCTGTCAGTCTTACTATTCCCTTTAAGTTTTTTTCTCTGTCCTTGGTTTTCAGTCATTTGACTGTAGAGTACTGAGGTGTCATTTTCTTTTTTTTTAATCTTTGGGCTTGTAGAACCTCTTGAATCTGAGTGTTGTTAGTCTTTCAATTTTGCAAAATATTCAGTCATTATTTCTTCAAATACTGCTTATCCTCAATTATATGTCTCTTCCCTCAGAGTTTCCAATTAACATGTATATTAGATAGACTCTTTGACTTTATTCCTTATGTTTCTTTTGCTCAATTCTTTATTTTCCCTTCTTTTCTTTCTATATTTCATTCTGCGTATTTTCTTCTGATCTAGCTTTTAGTTTATTAATTTTTCTCTTCAGCTTGTATCTATTCTATGCCTAATTTTTTAAATCTTGTCATTTCATTTGTTGAGTACATTAAGAATAGTTATTTTCAAAGCTAGCAACAGAAAATCTGAGTCTCCTATGGCTCTGTTGTCTACTTTTTTCTCTATAGTCACATTTTTCATCGTGATGCCTGGTTATTTCTTACTGTGTTGGACGTTGTATGTCACTGTTCAAAAATTCTAGTAATAATTTGAGGTGCTTCGTGATTTTTATTTCTGTAGAAGAATATTTTTGCAGTTAGGCTAAGGCAGATCATCTTAAACATCCAGTCAGTGTCTGAGATGATTTCTGCCTAGGCTTCAGCCCTTGTAAAGTTTGGTTTATTTTAGTTTCATCTTTATTCCTAAATTGTAGTAGCCTCTCAGGGTCCTTGATATAAAACCAGGGTGTTTTCTAGGACATCTTCTCCTAGGCAGATTTTGAATTTTGATTTTTGCTTAGCTACATTGCCTCTTACCTTTTTTCTTTCAGAATCAGTAATCGTGTTGAAGAATGGAGCTGTGCCACATGTCAAGTCCTCCTCCCTTCTCTCTTGAGATCTTGGCCCTACTGATTCTCACTGCCTTGATATCTTACCAATGTCTTCAAACCTTTTTTTTTTTTTTTTTTTTTTTTTTTTTACATTTCATCTAGTTTTTCTGATTGTATTCACTTGATCTAAAAGAACATAGCTCACCAGGAAATATAACCACGTGAAATTGTTTTATTTTTGTTATTGTTATAGTGGTGATTGTTGCTTTGTGCATTTGTTTTTACAAAATATTTCAACACCATTTTGATTTGGGGGATTAATGTCTCAGACCCCTACTTTCACTACACATGTCCATTGTTCTATTCTGTTAGTGGTGACTGGATGAAGAGTTTGAGAAATGTAATGGGAAGACTTTTTGAACAGAAATACCTGGGTTCAAATTGTGGCCCATCTTGATTGTGTCAACCTGTGTGAATTATCTGTAGAGACAATGTCATGCTCTGCTACCCAGGCTGGAGTACATTGGCATGATCAAAGTTCATTGCAGCCTCAAACTCCTAGGTTCAAGTGATCCTCCTGCCTCAGCCTCCCAAGTAGCTAAGACTATAGACATGCACCATCGCCCCTGGCTAATTTTTTTTTTTATTTTTTTGTAGGGATGGGATCTGGCTATTTTGCCCAGGCTGGTCTTGAACTGTGGCCTCAAGCAATCCTCACACCTTAGCTTCCCAAAGTGCTAGGATTACAGGAGTGAGCCACCATTCCCAGCCTCTATTAACTTTTAAAATTTCTCTTTCACTATGTCCATTTGGCAGATGAGGAGAGTCAGAAGTGAAATTGAAATTAAATTTTATTTAAAATGAAATAATGCAGATAGCACCTGGCTAATAGTAAATGCTTAGCAAACCTTAAAAATTATCTTGGGGAATAGGAAACTGTAGACTTAAAAAGACACTTATAGGAATTTAATAGGAATTTATAACTTTACTATGTAGTAATAGTAATTATTAGCAAACCCTTAAAAAGGGCATGTTATGTTTGGTTGTAGGACAATTCAGCAGGCATCTGTTGAACAGCCACTATGTTCTAGGCATCGTGCTTAATCCTAATGATACATAGATTCCATCCAGAATCTTGCAGTTTAGTGGGAAAACAGTGAAAGATTGTGAGCCAGGGGGAGGCTAACTCCAGTACTGTAATGAAGTAGGAGTATTAGAGCAGGAATCAACAAATTTTTCTGTAAAGGGCCAGGCAAGATTTTGTGGGACATACTGCCTCTGTTGCAACTACCCAGCTCTGCTATTGTAGTGCAGAAGCAGCCATATTCAATGCATAAATGAATGTGTATGGGTGTGTTCAAATAAAACTTTATTTACAAAAACAGGTGGCAGGCTAGTTTTGGCCCATTGGCCCCAAAACTATGCTAATCCTCGCCCTCCACAAGTTAAGAATGGCTTTTACATTTTTAAAGGGTTGTTTGAAAAGAAGATGATGGTGCAGCAGAGACCACATGTAGCCCACAGAGCCTGAAATATTTTATTTCTAGTCCTTTACAGAAAAGGTTTGCTAAACTCTGGGTTGGAAATAGGGTGGTGATTGCTACCAAAAGAGAAAAAAAAGTAGACTTCAGGACTCAGTTGACAGCAAAGAAAGAAAAAGAACATCGCAAGCCAGGCTTGGATCCACAAAGGATCCTGATGGGAAGAATAGGAATTCTGTGTGCAAATATTGATTTATTTACCCATGCCCCACTCCAACAGTGATTATCCTACTAATTACTCCTCTCTTTTATTGAATTGTCCATATTGTGCTGTTTTAGCAGCAAATAGAGGGGTACACTCATAGAAAATCAAAAATTAAATACTATTAGAACTGTTCTTCTATATAGAAGGAATTAAGTCTCCATCATAGCTAAACGTTATCAGACTTTATACTCTTTGCATGTATATATTGCTTTGTAATTTTATAACATCCTGCTAATTTTTTTCTTACAGAAATACACTTTCGGGAAATGGCCTCTAAATCTTGGCTGAATTTTTTAACCTTCCTGTGTGGATCAGCAATAGGATTTTTTTTATGTTCTCAGCTATTCAGTATTTTGTTGGGAGAACAGGGTGACACCCAGCCTAAAATTCTTCATAATGATCCTCATGCTAGGCATTCAGATGATAATGGACAGAATCTTCTAGAAGGACAGATGAACTTCAATGCAGATGCTAGCCAACATAAAGGTATGGTTTACTTTATTAAGGAGTAAATATGAATACTATTTTAGTCTAAGCATTGAGATAACTGGAAAAGTTATTCATATGAACTTTGTTATATCACTGTCTATATTTTTTAGTTAAAATGAGCTTTATATTCCAAATACTAAATAATTCTTGGTTTGCCTCAGGAGAAGGGAATTGATAAAAACCCAGATTTATTTAGGGAGTAAGGTATTAATATCAAATTTATTCTTAAGTAGAAATTGTTCAGAAATCATGATTTGGGGAAAAAGCATAACTTTTCAGATTAAGTTTGTTTCTGAAAATTTTTCTTTAGGTTCAGTTTTGTTATGGTTTATATTGATGTCTTTGGTTTTTATTATTTTGCTTAAGTCTTGTTTTCGTAGAGAAACTCAGATATCTATAAATCTCAATTTGTATTTTTATCATTAATTTTTTCTCCTTTTGAGAGACATAAAGAACTGAGGAAGTAAAAATCTAAGGATGTATTACAATGACTTCATTTTCTGCTTGCCACCTATTTCTAACCAGATGTTCTCAGTTGAATCCTCCATGTCCGACTTAAATTTTGGTTTTCTCCAAGTTTCTGTCCTTTAGCTCTCTCTTTGTCTTTGTGATCTCATCAGCTCTCATAATTTTAATTTCCATCTATCCTTCAGCCCAGTTCCAGACACCATGAAAAGACATTAACACAATGCAAAGATTTTTGCAAATCATTATTTATTAGACAGAAAAGAATACATGCAGCTTTTGAAAACAATTGGAATTCAGGAATGCAGAGGGTTCCCCGTTAAGAGTTGTTTCTCTTACCTTTCCAGTAGTAAATTCTTCTTCCCTGCTTCTCAGGCAGAGGTTGAGGGGTGAGATATCAAAGCCTGGTTGAGTTTTATCAACTAGCAAGCACATACATACTATTACAAATCATGTCATGTTATGTAAATATTTATATAACAATAATTGAGCAGGTGATCTGTGTTCTTACCATAGAGCAGTCTTGTCATAGTGCAGTTGCTTTGTAGCATAGCCACCTGTCTTCAGTTGATCAGCTGGAGCCAGCCAGTAGTAGGCTATACTAGACCTCACTATAGACACGTACATTATTAGGTTATGAAGTATGGAATGTCCGATTACCTTAAGTGCTAAGTTTGACGGTTGATATTTCTGACATTTCACTTTGACACTTCTTGTTGTTGGTTTTTTTTATTGTGAAGGGACATCCTCATTCTTTCAAATTCACGTTTGGCTTATGATTATCTTTCAAAATTATTTTAGAGCAATTTTTGTGAAACCATGGATAAGTCAAAAATTTGTGTTATTTTTGAATATGAGTTCCATTACGGAACCAATGCTGCACAGACACCTGGAAATACCAACGAAATGTTTGGGAAGGATATGGCTAATGAACTCACAGTACGTCGATGGTTTGAGAAGTTCCATTCTGGTGATTTTAATCTTGAAAATGAGCCATGTGGGTGACCTGAGACCAAGGTGGATAATGATAAGCTGTAACCTGTAGGGGAAGCAAACCCATCTCAACCTACGGGTGCATTAGCAGCAAGGTTTGATGTTACTATTCCAACAATATTGGACCATTCGAAATACATTGGCAAGGTAAAGAAGCCGGACAGATGGGTACTGCATGAATTAAACGAGCATCAGAAGAAAAATGGTCTCGAAGCTTGCCTTTCTTTGCCGTCACGACATAAAGGCGAACCATTTCTACACTGTATTTTTATGTGTGACCAAAAGTGGATTCTTTTTGACAATTGCAAGCATTCAGCACAATGGTTGGATAAAGATGAAGTGCCGAAACACAGTCCAAAACCAAATATTCCTCAAAAAAAAAAGCTAATGGTGTCTGTTTGGTGGTCAAGTGCTGGTATCGTCCACTGCAGCTTCATAAAACCTCGTCAGTCAATTACCGTTGACGTCTACTGCAACCAATTGGACAAAAGGATGAGGATGCTTGCAATTAAGCAGCCAAGACTTTTCAGTAGAGACAGGCCAATACTCTTGCAAGACTACATGTCACAAAAAACAACGCTGCTCAAACTACAGAGGCTGTACTTGAAAACTCTCTCTCTATCATTCACCATATTTGCCAGACCTTGCACCAACTGTCTACCACTTCTTCCAGGCTTTGGACCACTTCTTGCAGGGAAAAATATTCAATTCTCAACAAGCTGTGGAAAACCCCTTTTGCAATTTCATTGCCACTCGCTCTCCAGGCTTCTTTGCTGCTGGCATAAACAAGCTAGCCTTAAGATGGCAACACTGTGTTGATAGTTTTGGTGCGTACTTTAACTGTACTGCTTCTTGTTTGAGATGTAATAAACTAAACTTTTGATTTGAAATTGGACATTTCATATTTAATGACCTAATAGGTACATACTTGTCCTGCTTACTGGCCCACAAAATGTGGGGTGTGCTAAAAGTCTGTCTACTTCCATCAGACTCAACTCATGTTAAGTTGAATCTCCTTTTCCTTTCTACTCCTGAAAGTTGCTCTTCCTCCTATATTCTTTATGCTAGAAACCATGAAATCATAGTAGATGCTTGCCTTCCCATATTAGTCAATCCCATTTGTCACTAAATTCTAACAATTCTGCTTTACCATATTTTAGGCCTCTTCCTCTCATTCCACAGTACATTTCCCTTAATTAAGGCCTTTGGCTATACCCATGTATCTGCACACAACCAGACTTCACCATGCCTTTTGTCCTTTGTGTTGGTGAGCTTTTATTCGTTTAAACACCTGTTTTCTGTTCTTATTTTTTCTATTATCATTTTCTCTCTCCTTTCTTCTCTGTTCTACCCAAGTCCCTATGCCACTGCTCTATAGGATTTATCAGCCACTACTTTCTTTTCCTTCAGCCCATTGAACCCTCCTAAACATATCTCTATTATAACATCTCTTGGTATATAGTAATTACTGGTTTGCTTGTCAAGGTGACCTACTAGACTGTGAATTCCTCAGTGACAGAAATGTGTCTTATTCATTTTTTCTCCTTTTGTACCAGCACATACCTGGTACAAAGTAATTAATGAATCAATAAGAAAGAATAGAAGTGTCTATAATACCAGATGCCAGCAATGAAGAGAAAGTAGTCTTGTCTTAAGTGAAACAGATTGGGGATTCCTGCATATACTGTTTTCTCTATCCAGTCAGGATTTGGTATATCTGTATAACTAAGAGATCGAGCTCCTCAAGTATATGAGATATGAATGCGTTCTTACTAACAATAGGGTGACTTTGCTTCTGTCGTTTTGGATTCTGAATTCTTGATATTCAGGGGGCGTGAGAATATTTTATATATGCTACCCAGCCTTTGCTTCTATTCCCCCTCAATTAGTTAACTAGCATGTTATACCTATATTGGTTTTTCACAGGACTGAGCTTTTGTAACTCACTGTTTGACCTTAACTTTAAGGGTATGCTTCCTCAGGCTACCGCCTAGAGCATTGCTACTCAAAGTGTGGTTTTTTAGACTTGTGCTGGTCTACAGCTAACGAAGTTTTGCTTACTTGGAAGTAAGCAGAAACTTTTATGATAATTAGAGTAATTTTGTCTGAATCTAAAGAAAAATTTAGGGCTATATTTATTTTTCTAGTAATTCTCCAAGTGTAGGTCTCTAACTATTAGGAATAAAAATTGGTCTTTTACCACAAATAGTTTGAGAAGCACTTGTCTAGAATCTTACAACTGGGCACTTAACTCTAGACTGGTGCTACTCAAAAATGTGATCCTGGCCTGTCAGTCTATAAATTGTTTGTCTGCACTCAGATAAGGAGCTTGTACTAGGTTGTAAATCAGTTTAAGTCCCTAAGCTCATTGCTTAGTTAAGTGGACTTTTTGTTTGGTAGCAGGCCTTTGATGAAAGAAGTAATATGTTGCTTTATATTCTGGCATAAGCTCCTTATTTCTTTGCACACTGGTAGTTGGGGAAAAAAACACTGCTCTAGACAATCTTGGAAATCCCATCTCTCAGTTCTGTTTGACTGGTGGATTTGCATTTTCAAATGAGGTATATTACTGTCAGGAAGTAATCTCAACCCTGCATTAACTCCTGTGATTTGAACTGGGGTAATCTTGAAATCCTTCAAGGCCACCTCAGGGTACTTGTAGAAATTCATAGCAACAGACTCTTGTGAACTTCAAAAAAGAATTGCCACTAGAGCAGCATGTCTTTGCTGTCCTTCAGAAGCTCATTCAGAGCAGTGAGAAATTCTTGTCAATCTGTTGAAAACCAGCTGAAGTTTTCTTTGTATTATGAAGTGCCAAGCAGAGACTTTTTAAGGCAGCACTTAATGTGCTTATGAATCACCAGAGAACTTGTTAAAATGCTGATTCTGATTCAGTGGGTTGGGGCCTGAGGTTCTGCATTTCTGACAAGCTCCCAGGTGATGCTGATGCTTTTGATCAGTAAACCACAGTTCAAGTAGTAAGAATTTAGGTCATTGTCAACCTTTGTTAGTTCTACTGATGTCCTAGATAAGATTGACAGGAAACCAATAAATCAGTGTCAGTTCACATTAGTTTGAATTTTGCTTTCTTTCAGCTAAATCACTAATGATAGGTAAATAGGAGGAAGGTCTTTGAAATTGTTTAAGAAAATGCTTTCTTCAATATGATTTATTTGGATCTTATATCTATGTAAATATAACTTTAAAAAATATTTGTTTAATAGATGAGAACACAGACATCGCTGAAAACCTGTACCAGAGAGTTAGAATTCTTTGCTGGGTTATGACAGGCCCTCAAAATCTGGAGAAAAAGGCCAAACACGTCAAAGCTACATGGGCCCAGCGTTGTAATAAAGTGTTGTTCATGAGTTCAGAAGAAAATAAAGACTTCCCTGCTGTGGGATTAAAAACCAAAGAAGGCAGAGATCAACTATACTGGAAAACAATTAGAGCCTTTCATTATGTTTATGACCATTATTTAGAAGATGCTGATTGGTTTTTGAAAGCAGATGATGATACATATGTCATAGTGGACAACTTGAGATGGCTTCTTTCCAAATACAAACCTGAAGAACCCATTTACTTTGGGAGAAGATTTAAGCCCTATGTAAAGCAGGGGTACATGAGTGGAGGAGCAGGATATGTACTAAGCAAAGAAGCCTTGAAGAGATTTGTTGATGCATTTAAAACAGAAAAATGTACACATAGTTCCTCCATTGAAGACTTAGCACTTGGGAGATGCATGGAAATTATGAATGTAGAAGCAGGAGATTCCAGAGATACCACTGGAAAAGAAACTTTTCATCCCTTTGTACCAGAACACCATTTAGTCAAAGGTTATCTACCCAGAACCTTTTGGTACTGGAATTATAACTATTATCCTCCAGTAGAGGTAAGTTTAGAAATTTAGTTACTGTGTAAATACTTGAACTGACTTTTGTTGATGAAAAGTAATATGTGTATATTTCTACAGTACTAGGAGTATCCCGTAGTCTTTTTGTATAGAGTGGCAGTATGACAGAGTAGATGAGAACGAGGACATCAGCTGTAGTCATTCAACAAATATGTATTGGTGCTATTATATGCCAGGCATTGAGAATATGGAAGTAAATACAGCCAAGTTCCAGTTTGGATGAGGAGAGATACAATAGAAGACAGACTAGTAAAGATAGAATATGATTTTGTATAGTAGTAAGTTCCCTGAAGAAAAATAAAGCCAAGTAAGGGGATGAAGAGTGACCCAGGGTTGGGGTACTCTGCTTAGGGTGATTAAAGACGACCTCTCCTAGGGATGACTTTTGAGCAGAAACCTGAGTGAGGGTAGAGAGCAGGCTGTGTGAATATCTGAGTAAAAAGCCTTCTAGTTGTCAGGAATAAGGCATGAAAAGACTTTGAAAAAGTTTAGAAAGACTATGTTCAAATCCTGCTCTCCCACTTAATAGCCGAATGATGTTGGATGGACAGAATTTGTCTAATTTCTGAGCCTCAGTTTCTTCATTTGTAAAATGGACATCGTCTACCTGTCTCATTTAGTCTTTGTAATTACAGTGTAGTATACCCTGTCACACAGTAAGCATTTAACAAGCCTTGGCTCTCATTTGACACCTCAGCTTACATTCCCGAGAATTTTATCTAAGGTGCATTATTTTATGAAATATTTCAGATATACAAATATTTGAGAATAATATACCTTGTACTTACCACCTTTACCAAATATGAATCTTTTGTTATATTTGCTTCTGATTTTTTTGAAAGAAAAAAATGTTATAGATACAGTTGAGGTTTACATACCCTCCACAATCCCCTTACCTCCTTCCCCAGAGTTAACCACTATCATGAATTTAGTATTACTGTGCATGTTTTTCCTACACGTTTATATATCCATAAATAATGTAATGTTTTGTAGGTTTTTAAGTGGAATCAAACCATATGCATCTTTCTGCAATTTGTTCTTTTCACACATTGAGATTAATCAATGTTAATATGTCTGCTTCATTAATATACGAATATATTATAATTTGTCCATTCTCCTACTGATAATGCATTTGGTAGGGTTTTTTTCTAGTTTTTCACTAATTGCGGTGAATTACTGAATGAGACTAGGAACCATGAAACTTAGCCTTTAGACTCTGTTACTGATTAAGCAAGTCACTAGTTCTCTATGCCTTCTTTTCTCTAGCCCTAATAACACACTTTATGCTGCTACTTTCTTCTTCACAAGCTGGTGCTTTCAAATCATTATCTAGAACAGTGGTTCTCAACCAGGGGCAATTTTGTCCCCTGAAGGCATTTGGCAAGGTTTGGAGACATTACTACTGGCATCTAATGGGTAGAGACCCACTAGATTATAAATGTATCAGATGTTAAACATCCTACAGTGCACAGAACAGCCCCCCAAAACAATGAATTATTCAAGCCCAAATGTCAGTAGTAGTGCCAAGGTCAAGAAACCCTGGCCTAGAACATCTGACCCAAGCTTTAGGTAATCAGCTTTAAAAAGAAACTTTGAAGCAAATCACTACTACTTCAGCTATCAGCCACCAGTGTGTTTTTAGTACTTACACAGACACGACAGCTAATCTTTACAGTAATTCTGCATTTGACAGGTGACAAAACCAAGGCTCAGGAAAGTTAAGTAACTTGCCTATGCTCATAGTAATCTAGGCAGTGTTGCAAACCACTTTGATTCTAAAAGCTTAGTTATTAGGTCATTAAATATGGAATGTCCGATTTCGAATTAAAAGCTTATTGTATCTCAAACAAGAAGCAGTACAGTTAATCAAAGTATGCACCAAAACTGTCAACACAGCGTTGCCATCTTAAGGGTAGTTTGTTTATGCCAGCAGCAAAGCAGCCTGGAGAGCGAGTGGCAATGAAATCGCAAAAGGTGTTTTGCACAGCTTGTTGAGAATTGAATATTTTTCCTTGCAAGAAGTGGTCCAAAGCCTGGAAGAAGTGGCAGGCAGTTGGTGCAAGGTCTGGCGAATATAGGGGATGACAGAGAGAGAGTTTCCAAGTCCAGCCTCTGTAGTTGTGACATGTAGTCTTGCAAGAGTATTGGCCTGTCTCTACTGAAAAGTCTTGGCTGCTTAATCGCAAGCATTCTCATCATTTTGTCCAATTGGTTGGAGTAGCCATCCACTGTAATCGATTGATGAGGTTTTATGAAGCTGTAGTGGACAATACCAGCTCTGGACCAAACAGACCCCATTAGCTTTTTTTTTTGAGGAATATTTGATTTTGGACTGTGTTTCGGCACTTTATCTTTATCCAGCCATTGTGTTCAATGCTTGCGATTGTCAAAGAGTCCATTTTTGGTCACATATAAAAATACAGTGTAGAAATGGTTGGCCTTTATGTCATGACGACAAAGAAAGGCAAGCTTCGAGACCATTTTTCTTCTGATGCTCGTTTAATTCATGCAGTACCCATCTGTCCGGCTTCTTTACCTTGCCAATTTATTTCAAATGGTCCAATATTGTTGAAATAGTAATGTTAAACCTTGCTGCTAATTCACCTGTAGGTTGAGATGGATTCGCTTCCACTACAGGTTACGGTTCATCATTATCCACCTTGGTCTCAGGTCACCCACATGGCTCACTTTCACAATTAAAATCACCAGAATGGAACTTCTCAAACCATCGATGTACTGGGCATTCATTCGCCACATGCTTCCCAAACACTTTGATGATATTTCTTTCGGCCGTCTGCACTGCAGTGATTCCATGATGGAAATCATTCAAAAATAACATGAATTTCTGACTTATCCATAGTTTGACAAAAATTGCTCTAAAAAAATGCAAAAGATAATTACAAGCCAAACAGTGCATTTAAAAGACTGAAGATGTACCTTTACAATAGGGAAAAAAAAAAATGTCAGAGTTCAAATGTCAGAGATATCAACTATCAAACTTAATGACCTAATATTTCCATTATACTGCACATGAGCTCTTTCTAATTAATGGTATATGTACAAAAACAAGACGTAAGGGGAATATGTTAGTGGAATTTTACTCCAACAATCAAATATTCTAAGTTCAGTTCTATGTAATGAGACTGTTTGAAACCTTATGGTAGCATTTCATTGCTATTGTAGCTACAACAATTTCTTAGGCTGTAAAACCAGATGTATTTCCCAGTCTGCCTTTTAATTGTCTATTTTTCTTTTGTTTTAGTGAGGTATTACTTTGGCTGCTTTTTGGATTTTGGATGTAAACTTTCATAATATATTCTGACCATGCCAAGATGACTTAGCCTTTTCCCATATAAAAATATATCCAAGTTCAAAAACAAAACATGTAACAAATATACCAAAATGCATATAAGATTTTACTAAGTATCTGATAGTAGGTAATAACAAAGGGGCACCATACTAAGTATCTGATAGTAGGTAATAACAAAGGGACACCATAATTTTGTAACTACTAAAATAGCCTTTCTTCCTTTTAAGAGTACTACCCACAATTTCTACTTACAAATAGGATATGGCTAACAATATGCTTTATATGAGCAAAATGAATATTTCTGTAGTGCATCTTTTATTTAAATTATGGCGGTTTTTGAAAATAGATGGCAAGATTTGTTCTTTCTCTAAAAATTTATGCAATTGTGTTCAGGACTATTAAACAGTATTTGAAGTACTAACCTTCTAACATTGCCTATTCTCCATTAGGAAATTCTTAAGTAAACTCAATGTGAAATCAAAATTCTATTTTTCACCTATCATTTAATAAGTTTTCTTCTCCCTAAGCAAGTTACTATTTTCAAAGCCATTCTAAATCTTATAAATAATACTTTTTCTATGTAATTACTGAAAATACAATATGGAAAATATTTTTTTTCTTTTCTTTTTTGAGACAAGGTCTTATTCTGTCACCCAAGCTAGAGTACAGTGGCATCACCATAGCTCACTGTAGCCTCAAACTGCTGGGCTCCAGCAATCCTCCTGCCTCAGCCTCTGGAGTAGCTGGGACTACAGGCACATGCCACCACACCTGGCTAATTTTTTTTGAAAATTTTTTGTAGAAACAGGGTCTCACCATGTTGCTCAGGCTTGTCATGAACTCCTGACCTCAAGCGATCCTCCCGCCTTGGCCTCCCAAAGTACTAGGATTACAGGAATGAGCCACTGTGCCTGGCCATCAAAAATTTTAATCTTACCAGGGTATGAGATATTCTGATTTATCAAACAAACAGTCATGTTCTTAAGTTGCTTGTTCAGAACTAACTCTTCATGCCGTTCCCTTCCTACACCACCTCCTCACTTCCTTAGAAGTCTTTTAGGAATAGACTTTTCACCAGAGAATTTGCAATGAGTCTTAGTACAGTAGGTTTAAAATAGATGTGTAATTATTCACATATATATCCCTCTACATGAGAAATTGCCCTTTTTGTAAGTTAGAAATGATCATATGTATTTATAGAATAAATTTATTCTGTTCAATTTTATTTACATTAATTTGTCTGAAACATACTAGTACATGATTGAGGTAGAGAGCGCCTGATTTTTTCATATTGTTCCAGTACTATTTTTTAACTTCCGTTACTGATTTAAAATGGCTCCTTTATCATGCATTATAGCATTACTCACAGGAAGATCTATAGCTAAGATTTCAGTTCTGTGCCATTGTCCTATTTGGTTTTAGCCCAGCATCCTACTGTTTTGAACCTTGTAGCTTTACAATTTTTTTTTTTTTTTTTTTTGAGACAGATTCTCACTCTGTTCCCCTGGGTAAAGTGCTCTAGTGTCAGGCTAGCTCACAGCAACCTCATCCTGGGCTCAAGCAATCCTCCTGCCTCAGCATCCCAAGTAGCTGGGACTACAGACATGTGCCACCACGCCCAGCTAATTTTTACAATATTTTTAAGTTATTAATCTAAGGACAAATTACTCCTCTTTTTCTCTATCCTTACATATAAACTCATTAGTTTAGGACAATGACATTTTTGCTCAGGTTTTATTTTTTTTTACTTGCCTTTTAAAAGATCTCTTAGT